CAACAAGCAGAGTTAATGGAGAATGCGGAAGTCAAATTGCAAGTCACAGTGACTCAATGACCAAAGGGCAAGTGAGGTCGTAAGTGTGTCATGGTCACATGATTTTCCACTTAGCGATGCCAGTTGCCAGTCCCAATTGTGGTCGCTAAGCGAGGACTACCTGTATTCCAGAAACGTCATAATTAAATGATGTACTTTTTCACGATAAGATAAAATTACTTTGAGGAAATAAAACACATATATAAACATAAAATGACAATGTTCATAAATTTTTTCATTATCTTAGATTTTGTACTGCTGCTGCTGATAGGAAGTTAAGGTTATTCACGTCGGACCTCAAAGATAAGAATGAATATAAGGTGAGAAGAAGAAATAAATTATAATAACAAAAAGTGGCATTCTCTTTTAGTACTTATTTCTATACAAATCTATTAAAATTGCATGCTATAGCCTTAGAATGCCTCTCATTCAGTAATTTTGAATAGACCTGCACACAATTGTATCTTGTATTTTTAAAAGGTGATACTGTACTAAGGTGGCATTTTTGAAGCACATTTATGTAATAAAGCATGATAGTATTTATTTCAGCACTTCAAAATTGTGCCATTTTACGCTCTCAATGCACATTTTAAATAGAATCAAAACATTTTTTATAAAAACTAAAGTAGATTGAACTGTGAAGAATGAAGGTGAATGAATTATGACATATTCAAGAAGAGGTGGACAGAAAATACAGCTGGAGGTTCTGTTAGATCTTCGGGTGATTTGCAGTCTACTGGCAAGGATTTCTCACTCCAGTTTAATTATAGCATTAACAAAATGTATTTTCTCTCTTCCTTAGTTGTATTGCTGAAGGAGATAAACTTTGGGTGGCTTTCAGTGTTGATGAACTCTGAACTATTTCAGTTCTGATACTATAATTCCGCACTTCAGAATTCTTTGATTTTCAGTGTGTGTGTTTTGGATCCAAGCTCAGGGGGTAGATCTTTGGATTTTAGTAAAAATGGCTTCTTATATACAGTGGTACCTCGGGATACGAACTTAATGCGTTCTGTGACTCTGGGCATATCCCGAGTTGGTCGTAACCCGACACAAATTTCCCCATAGGGTTCAATGTTCAAATCGAGGTAAATTTTTGCGGCCGGAGCTGGTCGTAACCCGAAAAGTTCGTTAGTAGAGGCGTTCGTATCCCGAGGTACCACTGTAGAAGCAATCAGCAGCAATTTAAATATGAATTAAACATATAACTGTTAAGATTTGATATGATAAATAAAATGAACAGAACTGATGGGATTAGCAATACAGGTCGTACACAAGATAGGCAGGGATTGGGACCAGGTTGTCATCGCTAAGCAATGTAGTCATAAACCATGACATCACATGACCGCATCGCTTAGCGGCAGCAATCCAGGTAGTCCCAGTTGACATAGCCCCAAGATGTGCAGATTGTTAAGTGAGAAGCACCGGGAGTCCAAGGTAAGGAGTGTGGGGGTGCCACAGGGGGTGGGGGAGGCCCGGGGAGGCCTGGCGCACATTGCACATGAGTTGGTGGAGGGGGGTGCTGTGGAACAGCGCGAGCACAGGAAGGGCAGGGGAAAGGAGGGTGTGGTGCATACAAATGAAGGGGAAGGAGGGTGTGGTGTGTGTGAGCAAAGGAGGGAAGGGCGGTGCATACGAGCGGAGAAAGGCCAGGAGGAGGGAGACTTGCAACCTTCCCTGCCAGCTTCCCCATTTGCTTTGCTTGCTTTGATCTCGGAATGTTGCAGCTGGTCATAAGTGCACGCTGGTTGCCAAGTGCCCAAATTTTGTTCCCATGACTATGGGGGTGCTGCAACGGCTGGAACTTTGAGGGCTGGTTGTAAGTCCCTTTGTTCAGCATCATTGTAACTTCAAATGTTTGCTGAACAAATGGACGTTAGGCGAGGACTACCTGTATGTCTCATTAATATTTGGACCTTACTTGTGAAATTAGATACAATGTAACAAAGAACCCCAGGGGCAAGAGCATTAGTGCATCCAAATTATGCATTTATGATGCATTGGTATGCTGGTTCTGTAGCATGTGATGTGAAGCCAGTTAAGAGACCGGGCCATGCAAGAATGAAATAATGGCAATTGCCTAATCCTGTGATAGTGGGATAGAAACCTGACAGAGGTGGTATTTAACCATTCTAGTGATGTAGATTTATTTATCATTGGGCCTGAAGCTTCCAACAGCAGAGATACCTTTATTTAAAATGGAGTTAAATGTTTGTGCAAGCTATTGCAGTGCAGTTCATATAATACTATACTGTTTGATGATAGTTTGAATAAACGAGATCTAAACATGCCATATTGTCTCTTTACAAAACTAGAGCCCTGTTGATTTTATTTCCCTCAAAGGTACAATTCAAGATGTTGTTTCAACAAGCAAAGTCCTAAGACCTAAACAACTTGAGTCCTGGTTTTATATCTTGATCCTAATCTTGCTATCTTCTCCTTACTGTGCCTTAGAATGATGCCTTCATTTTACCTTTGCTGATTTTACTTCTTTTAAAATACCATCTTTGTCTTAATTCCATAGTAAAAAATATTTCTCCTTTTTCTTAACAGACCTTGGAAGGCCATTCAGATTACATTAATGATTTGGTATTTTCACCTAACGGTCAAGAAATTGCAAGCGTGAGTGATGACCATACATGCAGGTATATATTCTGTTAGTGAAATATTACTTTAATTGTTTATATATATATATATTTTTTGTCTGCGCTCAGTCATTGCTGACCCTGCAGTGACTGCTTGGACGAGTCCTTGC